AGGTAAACAGAGGCAGAAAACAGAAAAATGAAAAACAAGAAACCACAACAAATAAAACAGAACAACAACAACGAAAAAACCCAGGTGATATTCAGGTAGTCTGGTTCCTAGGTGTTCAGCGAGAGAGATTAAGGGATGGGGAAAACAGGGGTAGGAGAGGAGAGGGCTAGGAGTTTCACTGGTAGTGTAGGGTGGTATAAATGGGAGAGGCAGGGCTCTTGGAAGGGCATGAAACTGTGATTCACAAGAGAAGACTAAAGGCAGCAGTGGTACTCAGTAGACACTATGCTGAAAATGAACTGTACGACTTGTGGGTGGAGATGGGAGGGACAAACTGGGAGAGAACAAGGGAAGGGCTGACATTGTCCAAAAAGGAGTGTGCTCCTTCCTCCTGACTGTAACCCCTCTTACACCACCTGTACATCACATAACAATTTTTAAAAATAATTAGAAAGAGAAGACTGGATGATCGGTTATTGGGTTCAGAAATGACAGTTTTAGTAAAACAGGGAGAGCAGGCAGCTGAATGCGTTACAGTTTTATGATGGAAGGATACAGTTGAAGATAAAGTGGCCTTTTTCTGATTCGTAGACAAGAGGAACCATAGGGCAAGACAAGTACAACAGTCAAAATGGTTGAAGCAATGTGAGAACAAAGGCAGGCAGACCTCACACTGCAACTAGGGGTTCCTGGATGTTCTTTGTGACTGCATACGCATATGTGCAGTTTCAGGCCAAGTGCGGCAGCTTTGCTTCCATTGTAAGACCTCACACAGGGGAAAGGCCTCAGAGTTCAAGCTAAGGCTCATGGCTTCCGCCTCCCTCCTGTGTCTGTCTCCGTGGAGAGTCCCCTGGTTGCTGGGCTGCCAGTAGGGACTGTTCCAGACGTCTTTGAGCTTCTGTAGCTTGGTGGTTCTCGGAGAGACTACATGGAAGATGCATAGTTCCAGCCTTCCACTTTCCGTTGTCACTGTGCAGCAGTTCAACTGCCGGCCTTTCTTCCTCTTGGCTGTTCTTTGGGTCCATGGAAAGGTCCCGCTCACCGGCCCACATAGAACAGTTCTCAATGACCCCCAGGGCAGTAATGAAGTGGCTCATCCCACAGTGTGGAGACCCAATCCCCAGTCTCAGGCACCAGTGTCCTGGTGTCCTCTGGTCTCCTGTGCAAGTACAGGCAAGTGAGTCACTTGTGGACTCTTATTGGCTGTAGGTTCCTTCCTCACCTTCTTCTTTAGGACTGGACATAGGGCACAGACTAGCACCTGCACCCTTGCCCAGAACTCCCTTCTATTTTGCCCACCTCCACCTCAGCCTGGGGCAGCTCTGAGCATACCCTTCCCAGTCCCTTCTCCACCTGAGGGCCACAGGAAGATTCTTCTGCAGCAAGATATTACCATTGGTCACATATCTCTCCATCCCAAAGCTGTGTGGGTCTATTTTCCCGTGAAGAGAGTGGGCTGTGCAGCACCACAGATCTTTAAATTTAAATACGTAGTTTTGAATTGTACTCAAACTCTATTCGTCTCCTCCGGCTTTCTGAGTGAAATGGGTGTTCCGGGGACAGGCATCCCCCTCTCCCTCTGGCTTCACACCAGTTGGAGGGGAAGCGTGGAGGTAGGAGCAAACTGCTGCCCCCTGGCCACAACTCCAGGCATCATTGCAGAAAGGGGGTGGGTGGGTGGACAGGAGCTGCAGAGGGGGTACGCTGGTGGACTGTGCACAGGCAGACTACAAAGAGGTTCCTACAAAATGCACTCCATTGGAGCATTGATGTCCCAGAGGCCCCTAGTGCCCTTCTAAGCTGGATCTGATGTGTACCAAACATGAGTATTGTTCTAAAACACACAGGGAAACATTACCATCTGGTGGCTAAATGTTAGCATTACACCCACAGGGCTGGAAATCAATCCAATCAGGGATCACCTAATTTCCTTTGTATTATCTTCAGTTGTACAAAAGAGGTTCAACAACATGTATGTTAATGAGTACAATACATCTTGGTGACTGCACCAAAACTATCATTAAGACATGTCTTGAGGGAAAGAAAGATAGTCTTTTGTAAATGCATGTAGAGGAATAAGAAACATTCCATTTAGAGTTTTTCCCAGTTCATAGACTATTGGCCACCTCAGTGGAATCCTGTATTTCTAAACTTAACCAAATGTCTCCTCACTATGTTCAAAGACTTCATTTCCCCAGGTTACAAGTGCCCGGGGACAGCGCGGGAGTGGAGTGCAGAGGGAAACACTTTCAGGTGTTGAGACTTGACGGGGAATGGGAACCCATAAGTCCATTCCTCGGGATTACAGCACTTCTCTTGGCAGTTCGACAGAAAAAAGTGTTTTTGCATCCTTCCCCCTGAGGATGTGTCTTAAGCTATTTTGGGTTGCTAAGAACACAATGCCACAACTGGGTAAGGTCCTATAAAGAGGTAACATTCGACTTGTGTTCTGAAGGTCCAAGGCCCACAGGTTACACCTGCAGGCAGGGTCCCAGGGCAGCACAGGGCAGTGGAAGACAAAAAGAGGAAGGTGTGTGTGTGTGTGTACACGCGTGTGCACCCCCCCCATCTTTCTCCTCCCCCATTCCTGTCAAGCCATTAATACTTACCGTATTCATCCCATGGGGTCCAAGCCTGTTGACCTCATTGAACCCTAACCACTTCTCAAAAGCACCCAAACACGCTAAGCGCCAGAGTCAGGTTAGATGCCCACTCTCCAAATACTTAGAGATGGATGGGGATGAAACCCTAATAGGAGCTTTGGAAGTGACAAACCATATTTAAACGACAGCAGATTCCCCAACTTCCCCCCACATTGGGTTACCGTAGCAGCATACAGTCACTCCAAACAAAAAGCCCCAGCATCGCAACATGGTTCAGAATTGATTCAAGGTCAAAGCCTTGTTCTCTGGGTAATGCTTTCTGGTGCAGAGTCCTCAAAAAGTCAAAACCAGGTTACCTCTGTCCAAGATACAACAGCAGCACAGACACAGCACTAACTCTGCTGTTTCAGAGGGGAGAAAGAAACTGAGAATCAGAAAAAAGCAATCAGCCCAAATCAAGGGCAGACATTAACTTTTAGGGTTAATGTCTGGCCTCCTCCTGGTGGGGACAGTGCTCCTAGATGCTGCATGGAGCACTGCTCTGAGAGGTGCAAGTTTAAAGCCCAGAAGCTGCTCTCTTCAGATCCTTTTGACAGACCGCAGCTCTCTGTGGCAGATGCTGGAAAGCTGGTTGCCAACCTTTCTGGCTCCACTGTGCATTTGCAGCTAAGGGTACTTTGATGCTGTGGCAAATGTTTGCCTGGCTCCTAGGCTTTCTTTTGCAGTCAGGGTGGGTGGAAACTGCAGTGACCCTGCCACTTTTGTGTTCTATCTGCCGTGGAGCCCAGGGGCGCTTCCTTGTGAGCTTTACACTTGAACTATGGTTGTAGCTGCGCTTTGTCAGATGAAAGCAGCCAGAGAAATGCTGAGGCGGCGCTAGGCACTGAGTTCAAAAGTGGTCAGCTTGGTCTCTAAAAACGCTCTGTCCCTGAAGGCCACTTTGTTCGTAGTGGGGCAAGGCCTCCTTCCTCCTCTCATGAACAAGCCTTTTCATTTCCCTGGCAAAGCTGCCAAGTTTCCAAATCTTTCTATTTTGATTGTTATTATCATTATTATCAATTCAAGTCTCACTGTAAATCTGACTAAAAGCAGCCAATAGATTCGCATAATAGTCTTAAGTGCTCAGCTTTGTAAGTTCCTCTATGGAGTAAACTAGTGTATTACTTTTTAGTTCAGCCTTTCACAGGTCTTAGGGCATGACACAATGTATCCACGTGTCCTCACAATTTCCAACCCTATAGTTATTTACACCGGAAGCTATTCTCAGTCTCATGTACCAAGCCTTCACAAAAACCACCCCCCAAAGCTTTGCTGCAACATTCTGGTTTTTGCAAAATTCACTCCGCCAAATTTCTATGACCTTTGCCTGTCATTGAGTTCTAATGCCTAGTGCACATATTCAGAAAGGTTTTGCTTCGTATCTGTAGCCCTGGATTTTGTCTGGTCTGTTTCCAGATGGAAAAGCCTGGTGCGATCTGGAGGCGCAGTTGACATTTTCAGGCTCCCGTCGAATGGTTTAAAGGACCGGGCAGCCACAGGTGTCCCGTGCAACTGTGGGTGGGGATAAGGTGTGGTTATTCCGAACTGGTCCAGCTGTGAGGACAGGCCTGAGGAAGACCCAATCTCGGGCGTGTCCGGGCCTGAAGCCTTTCACCCACCGAGGGAACCCGGCCTCCCTTTGCCGGCGGGTGGGCGGGTGGCGGGGACGCGGCGCCGGCCCGGGCTGCAGGCGGGGTCCGGTGCGGACCGCGAGCCGGGCTGGGGACCGGATGACAGCTGGACACGCGGCAACGGCGAGCCCGGGCGCAGGCGCACAACCACCACCAGCGCAGGCCGCGGAGCAGCTCCGCGCCCGGGCCGGCGCCCCCTCCGTCCCCGTCCTCCCCTCCGTCCCGGCCACCCTGCCGCCCCTCACCCGGCCCCGCCGCACTCGGGGCGCGTTACGCGGTTGTAAACCGTGCGCGTTCCTGCCCCGCCCGGGGGAGGGGGTGCTCCCGCTCCGGCCGGCGCCTCTGACGTCATCGCGAGTCACCCCATTCACGGCCGGGCCCCTTAGGTGTCTATTCAGAGCCTGTCTCGCGGTGAGCCGTCCATAAAGGAGCCACCTTCGGCGAGGGGCTGAACGTGTGGTGCCTCTACTGTCCCTGGCCGTCTGTGTTTTCCGGCGTCTTTCCGCCGCGCCTCGAGGCGCCCCGCGTCTTCTGTGCAGGCACTGGGCCGGGCAGCCCCGCGCCCGGCGAGGGGCGGGGCCGGCCGGGGCGGGGCGGGGTCCTAGCCGGGGCGCGTCGCGCCGGGGGCCGCCGGGTCGCGTTTCTCCCGGGTGCTGGCGGAGCTTGCGGCCCGCGGGGCGCCTCGTCGTCTCCACGGGGACGTCCGTGCACGGATGGACCCGCCCGGCGCCGGCGGGGAGCGGCCCGGCAGGCGGCGGCCCCGGCGGCGGCACCAGCAGCGGCGGAGCAGGGCGGACGCCGTGGGTCTCTGAGGCGCGCGTGCCCCGGGCCCAGGGCGGCACCATGATGCCGGGCGAGACCCACTCGGCGGCGCCCGGGACGGCGGCCGACCTCGCGCAGTGCCAGGGCTGCGCCTCTCTGCAGCAGGTACGCGCGTCCCCGCGCCGGCGCCCGCCCGCGCTCCCCCGCGTCGTTGTGGGGACCGTTCCCGAGGCCTTGCTTGGGCTTTGCATCCGGAATTCGTTCCCCGGGATGCGGCCTTGCGGGGTGGGAGGGGGCGGGACGCGCACGATCCGGGGGCCCTGGTGTCCCGACCCAGCCCCAGGGCTTTCGGGGCCGGCGAGTGACAGGTGGAGGGCCGAGGAGATTTGCCCTTCTGAGAAGGCCGTGCACCGCCGGCCCCCTCCTGAATGTGTGCTGTTCGCAGGCAGGGTATTAGGTGGCGTGCGTGGATTGTCTGGTTCCACGTTTGGAACCGCAGTCCGGCGTATAATCCCAAACTTAATTTATAAAGCTAACTGACTCGTTAATTGCAGGACTAAAAGAATCAGAAGCATCTGGAGGTATAGTTTGTAACAGCAGCGGCGTGGATTGTTTATTCTTTACACCGGATTGGCAGTCTAGCTGCAGATCCTCAGGGAGCAGTGGGAACAGCCCCCAGTACTTATTTCCAGCGACGCCCCCAGCTAGCTGTCTGAAGGCGGAGCCTCCTTCACACTGTCTTCACGGTGAACATTGTGGTGAAGCAGGTGGACATCACCTTTCATAAGGAAGACCTTTATGGTGTTTGGGAAGGAAATATAAGAGGATGTTGGGATGGTGGTCTTGCCTCTTGGCGGGGGTGGTCAGGTGCCGAGTCTCGGAGGCAGTGACAGTCAGATGTTGGAGTGAATTGCTGCTGATCATTGCTGAATGCCCTAGCAGGTGCGGAATGAACCTTCTGGGAAGGGGGATTAACAGGTGGAAAGACTGAGGTGGTGAGGAGGGCAGGGGTCCCTTTGACTAGAAGAACTTGGTCTGTGTGGCACGAGCAGAGGAGAGGGTAGAAAGAGTCACAGACTAGATGGCCATCATGGGAAGTGTGGCTTTTATTTTAAGTGCAGTGTCTCAAGTGACTCCACACATATTTACAAATGGTTAGGAGCAGGAGATTGAGGGCTCAACGCTGGCACTCTGGGTAGAACAAACCCAAGAGTCGGTTCATTGCCTTAGTTAGGCTGCCTTGTGTAGCGATCTTATCCTCAATACCTTAATACCTCTCAGAAACATAGGTGAAAATCTTCTGAATCTCGAGTCATATTTATTAATTTATTCATTCAGCAAATATTGATCCCCTGCTGTTAGGCCTAGAAGATTCTCGATCTCTTGGAGCATCATTTCTCATAGGTGGGGTGACAAAGAAGTTAATGTTAGAAGATAGTAAATATATCAGTGATAAACAGACAAGAAAAAGAGGGCATGCACGGGTAAGAAAAAGGGCAGTGGCTGTTGGAATTTCAGCAGTCCTAGGAAAGCTAACATTGAGCTGTGGGGTGAGAGAATGTGCTCTGTTAGAGTATTGGGAGAAAAACCCTGTCACTGGAAGTCTCAAGTATGCAGCGCTGATGGAGTAGTGCTTGCCCAGTTCCTTGGGAAGACCAAGAAGGCCAGCAGGTCTGGAGAGCATGGATGTTTGGGTTTTGTGAGATTATAAGTGTAAGAGCAGGGCTGGTTATGTGAGGGTGTGACTGGCTTTTGGAATGGGATGATGAGCCATTGGAGGTGTTTTGCTGGAAGACAGTGGATGTGAAGTGTGTTTTTCAGTCTTGGGTTGATTTTCCTTCATGAACATGTCTACCAGCATTTTGTTAAAAGTGATGTCCCTCAGGATGGTTAGCCTGAAACTGGATGCCACCCTTACTGCCTCTTTTCCCTGGCAGCCTGCTTTTACTGTTGCTTCTCTGGAGTCCTCCGTTCTCTCCCCCCACATCTCCCCACTTACCACCATTTTCACTTTTTACCCCATGGTCAGAACCCCTCTTACCTGTTACCTAGAGATCTTCGCATTGATTTTCTTTCTTACCATCATGCCACTGTTGGTTCTCAAAACAGCAATTGATGAAGTCATGTTTTAGTTACATCCAGAGTATGTAAAACATTCTGTATGGTACAGGATCATAATAAGTATTTAGGCTTTGAGGACTTGTACTCGGTTTACTCAGTTCTGCTACAGAAGTGTGAAAACAGTCATAGGCAATATATAAAATAGTCTGTGTGTCTGTGTTCCATTAAAACTTTGTAACAGTTAAGAGGGCCTTAGTGTGCAGATCGCCCCTCTAGATTAGACTTTGGGTTGTATGTTGGTTTCTGTTTGCCTGGAACTGGAATGTCTTTTTAGTGGAAAGGGGTAGCCATTGTGAGTGATGTCTCCAGCATACTCCTTAACTGTATGACACATGAGACTGGAAGAATAGGTGCCTTCCGATGACAGAGAACGTTGAGTGGTGGCCACTATGAAGTTTTGTACTTCTGTCAGTTTTCTTGAGTGATGGAGCTTTACAGTGCTTGGTGTTGAGGCTGAGCTGGAGGAGTATACAACTGAGATAAATTGTTTTGCCAATACATTCTAGTGTAATAAAAGCCCAAATTAGTTGAAGGCGGATGGAAATGAGAATGAAGTAAACAGTGGTTCTGAATAGGAGAAAGTGAAGATAACTCTGGTTTTTGGAAAATGGAAGGGGTAGAGACTTAAAATATGAATGACCTTGAGAACTGTAGTAGAAGGCGAAAGGAAAAGCAAGACAAGTCAGAAGGTGTGTTAGAGATATAGGACTGATGTTTAGGAATGACATTAGGACCTGGATTTTCAGCCATTTTTTTCATTTATTCTTTGTGGAGTACTGGGTCCTTTAGATGGTCTATTCTACTTGTAAGGAAGTATAGAGGAAGCCAGTTTCGATGGAGACATTTATTGGGAGAGTTTTACTGGGAGTTGGAAGTAGGAGGAAGAAGAATGAAGGAATATATTGTGTTAGCTAAACTGAGAACCACCTAGCTAATGAGTAGCCCTTGAAGGTGGACGTGGAGAAAGAGAAAAGCAAAGGTAAACAAGCCGGGAATACATTATAGAGCCACCCAGTATTGAAAAGAATAAAAATGAAAGAAGAAACAATTAGTTAGTTAGATAATCACTTTTAGGAAAGCTATTTCTGCATCTGCTGTCTATTGCCACAGCAGGGATTGTATTTTATACCTGTATTAAACTTTTGCATGAGAGAGAAACCCTAGCATTGGTTCTACTAAACTGAAATGGTCTGGCAAAAAATTGATGGGCCGTCCGTGTCAGGGGTACTTCATTCTAAGGACTTAAGTTTCTGAATTGACCTCATTTGCTTGCACTGAAAAGCTTCCCTTCATGTCTATTCTTTTATTGTTTCAGTAGTCGGCTTTGCTGAGAATTTTGCTTCCTGCAGAACTGTATCTGAACGTAGTGCTTGCGTTTATTGTGCATATCTTTCTAATGTAGTTTTCTCTATCTCCTCATCTCCTGTGCACACTTTCCGGGGCGGCAGTGTTTCGTCATCGAAGTCCACGTGGGTTGCCACACTTCTTCAGTCCTGTAAACCAGTGTGGCCTGATGATTGTATACATATTAAGTCTTAAGTGGATCACCTATCAGGTCACTTTTTTCTGCTTTTGAGAGCCCTGGTTTGCCAACTTCTCTTTAGTGCAAATCAGCCACACTCTTAGGAAGCCAGATGAGAGTTTGAAGCTCTTGCGCTCTTGAACTAGATTAGATTTAGTCAGTTGCGTGTTTAACCGACCTGGGACAAAATTGAGCTTATAATTTGGATAGCCTTGTGCTTGGCTCACATTGGCCACAGATAGAAGTTGAAGCTTCACTGCTTGGAACCTGAAATATATTTTCCCCCAGACCTATTTGTAGTAGGAAGACCCCTACTCAGGCAGGCAAGCCCACCAAGTCCTCCAGAGTGACAGAGCCCACCGCAACAAAGTTGTTAACAAAGAAGCAACTTTATTGAGAAGGTTCCTACCCTGACCGGCCAGGGTCGCAGCACAGGCTGGGGAGCTGATACTGTGACCCTGGATGGCCCACAAGCTAGGGTTTTTAAAGGCAAAATCCATGTGGTCAAGCCTGGCCACACGCAGGTGACCAACCACACACAAAGGATTGCATAATCATGTTAGGCCACACGCAGGTGGCCAATGGAGTTACAGTCTGTCTTATACTAGTTGTTAAACTATCCTATCATTTTGGTTTGAATTGGCATGCGAATTTGGTGGGCAAAAAGCAGGTTTACAGTAAGCGGGTGGTATTGCCAGTTGAGCAAGATTACAACCTATCTACTTTCTTGGTCAGTCTTTAACTGAACAATCAAGGGTGAGTTAGGTTGTGAAGGAGAGGGGGACCAGGTGCATTTTTTTCATTCTGGGAACTAGGCCTGTTGGAGCCAAGATGTGGCCCTGTGATTAAGGTGGTTTTTCTAGTTTGAACGTTGTTTAAAGGCTTTTAGTCACCACCCTAAAAAATAGAGTCTAAAATCCGTAAAACAAAGGCAAAGCTCAAAATGGAATCATACCAGCTTGAGCCCCATCTCAGGGTCCACTTCATATTGATGTACACATTGTTCTGTGGCAAGGAATGCTTACAGAATTGTAATTCATTTACCAATCAATGATGTACTTGCTCCTGGCGTGGGGTCTGATGCACAGTCTTGAGCAGAAGCAGCACAGAGCTCATTCTAGTTGGAGTCAGAGAGGAAAAGCACCCTCAGGTTAAGTGTAATGGAGTCAGTTTTGGTAGGAGATCCCCAGGGAGCCCATCCTTGGGCCCCTGCGTGGGATGAGTGCGGCCTGCCCAGGGCTTCATGAAGCAAGCTCTGAGGGCAAGGGCGCACTTTGCAGGTCACTGGAGGAGGGAGAGTACTGTTGGCTGAGGCCGCAGGCTGTACAGAGGACCAGGGGAAGGAAGAGTTCACTACAGACGAGGGACAAAGGAAGAGGTCCAGGACGGGCTTCCTCACCCTGGAACTGAGTGCCTGCGATTGCCTACGTGCTGCTGCTGCTGCTGCTGCTGGCACCAGTAGAGCAGCTCTACCCTTGCCGGCATCGTTTGTATTTGCTGCCTGGACCAAGAATGGCTCTTT